TCCTCGAAGAGCCTTATCAAGGCTCGCCGATCGGCCTCGCTCATATTTGCCTCACCTTAGACACTATCTTCGACTCGACACACATCGCACATGTCGAATGACGCGCAGGATATCATCGTTAATTGATCTCTCTCTCTCTCTCTCTCTCTCTCTCTTCAATATTTATTCTCGTATGGGGAATCGGCTCATACATTGTCGCTTACAATCGTTCTAGCGTTATGTCCCGAGAATCCCCGTTAATCAATTATATTCAAGTTCAACAGAATTGAGAGAAGTTCAACACAAGAGGAAAATCTTGATATAAGAGGAAAATATATGATCAAAATATATTACATGATGGACATCCTTGGGCATCCGAGTAGAGATTTTGATTGCACGTTGATTCCGCAAATTCCGTCGAACTTGAAATTGCTAATAAACAATTTGAGTGTATGATACAAAATAAACTATTGTTGTCTATCCCGAACCTCTGTGAGGGATGCACAGTAAAAAAGTGCCACCGTTTGAATAATATTCATTTGATCCAAGTAAATATTTATCCAGCAAAATATTTCCGTCGCGTGAACTTTTTTTTCGTTCATCCTTACGCTGAGCAAAAGAGACTCAAATATTTATTTGTGAAATATAAAGTTTATCCCGCAGAAATAAATGTTTATTTAAATGCGGCGAGATAAATTTCTATTTCTAGCAAATAAACCGATTGATAAGAAAACCTGGATATATTTCGCGAAAATATATATTCCGTCGGTACGGTCAAATTTTCTTTTAACTAATAAATATCAAAGAAAGTGTCACTAGAAACATATACTTCGCAAAATTTAAATTTCTTTTTCTGAGCGTACTGTCCGCGCCTCGCAGCTCTATGTATCAATATTGGAAAAATCAAACAATATATTAATCCTATTTTTAATGGCATACAGATAAAAGTGTTAGATTCAAGTAAATAATTACTCCAGTACTCCTAAGCAACGTTTAACTTGGATTCGATAAATTTTACTTGGATCAAGTTAAGTAAATACATTTTATTCGGATAATACACTTGGAAAATATTTCTAGTCGGATCAAATGAATATAAAACATCCGAGTAAACATTTTCCAAAAAGGAAATTGGAATAATCATTCGCTCGAATCTAATATTTTCTTTCACTGTATTCATATCTACCTGTTGTTCCACATCTTTCCATATTTCTCGTTCGCCACTTTCGCCATCTCGCGTCTTCCTTTCTTTCCCGCTCTCATTGATTCAGTCACGCGAATTATTTCAGTAGCTCGTTCGGGAGAAATCTACTCCTTGTTTTAGATCCGGCGCGTGATTGGACTGCCGTCGTCGCCGTCGCCGAGAAATAAATCGCGCGTCCCGATCAAAATTTTGTGCGTACACGGCCGCAACTATAATTGGAACTTCGCCGTCCTCTCGAATACGAATTTTGACATACAAGGCAGACACAGAGAGCGGGAGAACGCGCGCGGAAGCGTGGGAACGGCCACTCTCGAGCCTTCTCAAAACAAAGCACGAGCTAGCTACGTGAGGGGGATGAGGAGCACGCGACGCGCACCTGACTACCGCGACGCCTCCGCGCTGCTCCACGTGCTCGCATCCGCCGTCACCGCCGCTACCAGCCGCCTCCTCCTCCTCCACGCTTTATTAAGTTGTTACCAAGGCTCGGAGTACGTCCTCGCGCGCGCACGCGAATTTCCCGCCCGCAGTAACGTCCGCTCGGATCCGAGTGGGAATCCGATCGGCGTTAACTCGCGATTATAATGATGAATTTGCGCGATGGCGTTTTGCGCTCACGTTCAAACGAGAGAGGACGCATCACGGCCGAGATCGTGTAACGATTTCGACACTTTTGTTCGATTGTCCAAAGGAAAACGAGATGAGTCGAGAAAGAGAGAAACAAAGACTCACGACACACGCGCCCGACTCGTTTTTCTTCGGGGTCGAAGAAATCGTCGATAAAGCCAAACGAAACGTGGACTCGAAGAGGCTCGTTAATGGCCGGCGATAAAAACGGAAGAGAGAAGAACGTTAGCGTAACTACCTGTCCCGTATAGCAGCGGTGGCGGGCGGTCTCTCCTTGAGATCTGTCCTCACGTAGAAGACGAGGTCCTTAGCCTTTACGTGTCGGCGTTGTGTTGCTTACATAACGCATACAGGCGGCAGCTCGCATGAATGAATACATGAATGAATAAAGACGGCCCCCGGCGAGCACACAGTGGCGCGCGCGTCACACACACGTAAGGCTGCAATCTCAATAAGAAAATATGACTATTATGTTGTTACAATAACGATATCAATTCATTGACCGTCGTGGCACCGAGCGAGCCCATTGTCTTCAAACGACGGCGGGACACTCGGCTGCACCGTGTAAATCGCCCTCGAATTATTTCGCCTCCGAAATCAGCTGCCCCGGAGCAGATCGACGCGTCCGCGCGATGAGTGAACGGTCGCGTCTCTCGTTAATTGTTGCGGAATCGCTGATTACTTTTCGTCGTAATCCGAGGTGAAATTTAGTTAATGTAACACTATAGGCTATTGTCTTATCATGATGCTACAAACTTGCCGCCATTTTCAAGCGAATATCAAGCGACCCGCTAAAGGTTAATAGGTAAGTCGAGCTTTCCCCCTTCTCAATCCCTTTGTCGTTATATTTTCTTCTCTTCACAGAAAAAAGCGCTAGATTCAAGTAAATAATTACTCCGACACTCCCTAACAAATTTTCACTTAAGTAAATTTTACTTAGGTAATTGACCTGGGAAATATTTCGCTCGGATAATTTACTTGGAAAATTTATTTTACTCGGATCAAGTAAATATTACTTGATCCAAATAAGAATCTGCCAAGAAGTATCGGAATAATTATTTACTTGAATCTAACATGTTTTTTTCTGTATCGTTGACATTGAAAATTTCGAGAAAATTTGGAGATTCAAGAAGAAAGAAAGCAAATAGTCAGCAAGTGCGCCTAATAACGCTGCGCACCGGTAGAGAATTAAATCTCGATCCAATACGATAACGAAGATAAACACAAGTGAAAGACGTTGGGAGATTCAAGGCGGTGCTTGCGGCGCGAGGGAAATTATTCGAGATACAAATCGACACTCGCGGGCGGACCTACACGATACTCTAAAGCGATTCTATATCTCGATTCTTTACAATAAGTGATTCGACACACCGTGAAATATCTGGCATATCGCTGCCTGCTTCCAAAAGTCTTACGTTCTCCCGGCTTCTCGACCCTGACATTCTGCTCTTGGCCGCTCCGTGGTCTCGCATATTTTCTAGCGCCGACACTGTCACTGATATCCGCGAGGAAACAGGACTTGATCGGCGATACGCGTGTTAAATAAATGTGTTACGCACGTGCTCCGATACGGGTGTCGCTCGAGACGCAATGGCTCAGCGGAGAAAGCAGTTTTTCAACTGTTGTGAAATTGAATGATCGTGAATCTGATCGGTGTGTGTGTCGTTAGATTCAACCAAGATTGCGAGCGTACGTCAGATTCACGAGTCCGACAACAGTTGCGAAGCTGCTTTCTCCGCTGAAAAACGCGGAAAAATATGCGCGAAATGTCGAAAACAATCAGCGCGATAACCGTCGCCGTCCGTCAATCAATGACACTTTATCAAAACATGCCGAGCCTTCGAGAAGCGGGATGAGAAGAGTCATCGGGACGGACGGTCGCGCGTGTGGGAAGCGAAATTTGCCGGGTTTAGCCGTGGAAGCGAAGTTTCCACTCGGGAAGTCACTTATTATTTACGAAGAGTCGTTTCCGCTCCGCGACACGTCCATCCGACGCACGGTGTGTGTCAAGGGTTAATCGTCGTGGCGCGACACGAGCGTAATTATAGTTGAACGAGGCCGAAAATCTCAACGAATCAAAGTGGTCTGTCTGGCGCATCGCTTCCGAAGGCAATTGCCCCTCCCCCGGTTACTTCATCATCGGATCGTACTTCCTCCAGACAAAACTGATATATGATGTTTTAAGTGGCCGCAGTGACCGTCGGTAATTGAATTTAAAGGGCGGAAACGAAGAAATCTGGTCCCCTTTCGTATTAACCTAATCAAGCGCAGTTGGCCGGCGCGACCGTCGCGATCGCAATAGAGACATTAAATTGTCAGTACGGATTTATTAAAGCCGGCGAGATCCCGGACAGCTACGTACCGGCTGCGCGCGCCACGAGTGTCGTGAAGGTGATCGCGCCGACGGGAGCCAGGGAAACCGCCGGGAGTGAGCCTCCTTTTCGGGGCGCCACCGGGGCAGGTGCTGATCCTGATGCTGAGGAGCGACGTCCTTCGTGTGCTCTTATTGCAGAAAATTATGCACGCCGCGGCGGTGCATTAGCAAAGAGACTCCCCCCCCCCCCCCNCCCCCCCCCCCCTCCGCGCATCGGCGACTCGGACTTTTTACCGTCGTCGCCGCTGACGGGCCGGTCTCACGCGCCATTAGGCTCGTTCGATATTCATTTCGATATACGTGCGAACACACAGCCCGGTCTCGCGTTCTCGGTACGATGACTCGTCGACAATTTCGCACGGTCCCCCTTTTCCTCCGTGGCGAACGCGTTCCGCGCAATCACCACCGTTCGGCGAAGTTTTTACGCTACTTTCCACCTACCTGATAATTTGTCCCAAGTCTAGAATTCGAACTTGCGAAATTGTCCCCCACTTCGTCCTCGACGGGGGGGGGGGNGGGGGGGGGGGGGAGGGAATTCGAGAGATCGCTCGCACGAAAGCGAAATCGGTCCTGTGAATGAATGTTAAGGTAGTCGGTCCGTAGAACGTCAGATTTTCAGCTGTGATATTAAGCGGTTAAGAACGTAAGAAATGCGTGAATTTATTATTCACCGGGAAAAATCTTCCTCTTTCGACGGACCAAGTACCTTAAGACAAAGAGGACGGAGGGGAGCCGGTGGACAATGGTGCCTCTTGCGATGAGGAAGAGCGCGTTAGCAAAAATGTTTTATTAAAGAGAAAAATTTTCTAGAATAAAGTAAATTCGCACAACCTCGAGAAAGGCACATAATGAACTTGCGTCAGCGAGCCGAGGCGAGCCGGGGCGGACGAAATGGTACGTATAATACCCGTATACATCTGTATGCACGCACGCAGGCACGCACGTGCGCGCGCGAGTGCGGTGTATAATGAAATAAAAAGTTTCCACACGATGTAGCGTGACCGTCCCTTCGACGTCGATACACCATCCGCGCATCCGACGCCGACATCGGCGCATCGGGCGCGTTTAACCGAGGCGAACGTACGAGATCTTTCCGGCCTGGGAAGATCCGGAGGGACGCGAATGACTATCTAAAAAACCACTTGTTGCTCCAAGTGATACTTGGTCTTGCACAGTTTCTGCAACCGGGAGATCCCCTCTTCCCGACTGCCGTCACCGTACTTGGCCTCCCACGCGTCCAACAGCATGTTGTAGTATCTCGGGATGTCGAAGTACTGCGAGTACCGGTGGCTGTCGGCAGTAGGAAAGATCTTCTCGAACCTGTCCAACTGCGTCAGCTCGTCCTCGTAAATGATCAGGTGTCTGACGTCGTCGGGCGTGAGATCGTCGATTATGTCGTGCAGGTAGTCCTCCCGATTCCTCAGGTTCGCGTACATGAACTGCTTGTGCCGCTCTTGATAGCTGAGATTGGTCCGATGCAGCCTGTAGTCTTGGCACACCGGGTCCAGCTGATACCTCTGCGCCAACTTCTCCATCTCTTCGATCGGTATACACACGGGCAGTTGATATCCGGCTATGTTGAAGACGTTCCTAATGAGGGGCCCCTTGACGGCGACGTCGAGCGGCGAGGAAGACTGTAGAGAGGGCGATATATTCACCTCGAGCAACCACGGCTTCAGGTTCTCGTCGAGGAGAATATCGACTCCGAAAAGTTCATAGCAACAGTACCTTGAGATTTCGTAAAGCACGTATATCAGAAATATGATCGATGCGCGACACGCGCGGGTTGTGGTTAAGTGTGGTTGTGTTGGTTGCGTGTTCAGTTACAAGCCCGACAATGTTGCGTTTTAGAGACGACAGGTGCACGATATGTGTGAACAACATTTCGAGTGTTTCGTCATTCGTGCAATTAGGGGAAAGGAGGTAAGATTGAGGGCCAGTCGATTTTTCCTCATTTCCGCGTTTTTGTTAACGTAAAGATAAATTTTTTTCTGAGCAGTTAAAATTTTTGCCTATCTGTATAAACTGATCAATTTGTAAGTAAATTAGAATTTTGTTTAATTTCACTTTTTAATTTTAACTCTTTTGAAAACATATCAATCTCGTCATCTTATCTTTATATGTGGGTAAGATATATGACGAAGGTTAAAAACAAAATTTTTTTATATATATAAAAATCACTTTCACACACTTTTTATATTATTTTGTTATTATTAATGTGTGAACAGCAAAATAAAATAAAAATAAAATAAAATACAAGTAAAAATATTATTTATGGACAAAAAAAGGATTTGTGACAATGGAACTCAAAAAAGGTAAAATTTAGAGACGAGAACAAAATTAAAACATTTATAATTATATAGTTTAAAATAAAGTGTACGAATGCTTGCATATGATATTCATGTATAATCACTATATTTATATATTTATATATTATATAATTAAAAAAATATTGCAATATGAGAAATGAAAAGTAAAAATACATTATTATATGTTTCTAAATATACTATACAGTAATTTTACAAGGGAAGTAAAAATAGTTACTTTAATTGCGTAATTCTTCATAAAAAAATACATGTGTAATCACAAATTACATGTGAGTATCCAGAACACATTTTTTATTATATTATCTATTGTAATTGATAGATTTAAGTCAAATTACAACAAATTATTGATTAAAAGCTTCTATGAATTGGGCATTGACTCGTTATTTGTTACTAGCTTAAAAAATTAGCGAATCATCATTTTACCCACATTATCTTCTTACTCCCTTTCTCGCCTTGTGTGTGTGTGTGTGTGCGTGAATAATTTATTCATTTATTTATTAAACAATAAGAATAAAGCAATAAAGTGAAATATAATTAATAACATGAATAAAATGAGAAGTGAAAGAAAAAAAAATGTGTCGTTTCTCACCTGGAAGTGACGTTGGTCCTCGTCAGACTGTTGATGGAAGACTCGCCGGCGATCATCGTTTTCACAACCATGTCCTTGATCGACGCCCACAGTTTGTCGACGTTGACGCGTTCCTGCTCAAGATAGGACCACAGAGTCCTCAGCGTCCACTTGTGGCCGGTGCAGGAGTCCGCGCAGTCATTGCTGGTGTAGGTCGCGCTGCTCTTGTTGATGCTGTAGTTGGTGAGATGCATGAAACGGTCGCTGAGATGATTGATGTCCTCGTTGTACTTGACGGAGGCGAAGCGCACCAGGCCGTCGGGGTACATGTAGACGCGGAGGGGGTTGAAGCTGGTGACGAGGACGTAGAGGCGCAGGTCGAACTTGGCGCCGTGTATCAGCATCGGCCGCGACAGATACTGCTGGACGACGACAGGCCGTTTCTTTGGTATCTGGGACCAGCGATGGACGACGCGGATGCCGGTGCCACGGGCGGACGCCGGCGGCTTTACGATCCACTTCTCTTTGCCGCCTGTCTTCTCCCACACTTGGCGGAAGGAGCGCAGGTCCTGAGGTAGCACGTAAGTGCGCGGCACGAAGCCGAATTCCCGCTTGTCGTGCTTCGCCATCATCCGGCTGAAGTTGCGCCACAGCCGGTCCTTCCGGCCGATCTGGAAGGTCCCGGGGAAATGGTTCACCTTCTGCGACTCCTTCAGCCCTTTGAAGCAGGCGGACTTCATGTGCTTGCCCCAGGTGCCGCACCAATCTTGGGACTTCTTCATCAGCCGGTAGCCGGAGTTCACTAAGGTGCGACGCACCAACGTCGGCGTGATCCTGCTGAGGTGCCACTTCAGGTGCCTCGTCACCGCGCAGGGCAGCACCGGGTCCTTGCAGTCGTACGACTGGAAGGCGATGTAGGGCGCCACGTTGTCGAACAAGCTCTTCCGCAACAGCAACGCGCTCCGTTTGTCGTCGCCGCCGGCGCTGCCGAGATCGTCGATCGACAGCAGGTCCTCCTCGTACGGGATCTCATTGTCGCCGCCGTCGATGCTGCTCGCGACACTGCGGATCTCGTGATGGTTGTACGCGATCACGTCCATCTCACGGGGTGGGCCTGCAACACGGCAACTTCGTCGTAGCGCGGCCTTCTCCGCGTCGTCGCCGCGTCTCTTCGCGTGCCACTTGGTGTCCCGCTTGTCCCATTCGTCGCGCGTGTATTGTAAGCCCCCCCCACCCCCGAATATCGCCGCGGATCACAGCGGTCGTGACGAACACGCGCAACAAGTCGCACGACGCGAACGTTTCGCAGGAATTAAGACGACGGCCGCGCGATGTTCGGTTAATTTCATTCATTATGCGAAATGCGGAACACCGTTCGCGCGGAAACCGGCCTCACTCGCGGTGAACAGGCGTCACGGCCCTCCTGTCGAGGAGTTCGTCGCGATCGGCTCTCCCGGGGGCCGGCCCGACGCGGTGCGATTATCGTGTTCCCGCGCTTGCAACATTGTCATTATCGTTACCGGTCGACCCGGTGCCGTGGGAATTTTTCCGACGGACGCTTGTGACAAATTCGCCCGGAGGAGGGTGTAATTAAAGAGCACCACGGAGACACCGATCTCGATCCGCGAGGGCAACGGGCAGCTGCGGATAATCGATTTACTTACTACCATCGCGGGTCCCAAGTGGACTGAAGCGCGGCTTCGACCCGGCTAAAATTTCATTTCGCCGCCGGCTACGTTAAGTACCGGGGACCTTTTTTCGCAGCGCGGCTGCGTTTTCCCAGCGCGGCCGGCTTATCGCCGATCTGGGCTCGCGTCGAAGGTAAATCAACCTGCGCCGCGGCTCGAGTCTATCGCCGGGCGCGATTCGTGCTCGGCAATGGCGTAGCTGAGACAGAAACTGATTCGTCTACAGGCTCGCGGAATTCGAATCTGCCGTCCGATCCGAGATACACCTGCGGGAGCTAAGATGTGTTTTTTGAAATAGGGACAGCTAATGGCGTTGTCACCGCCAGTTAAATTTATCAGATGTTTGAATTTAGACGCTATAGCGAAAAATACTAGCTGAATCGTACCAAAACCTTATTCAAATTCTCGACTAGAAATGCATTGCTCTTTTTTAAGAAGAAGTTGTCCTTATTAAGGTGTTAGTGTGCGTGTTGATTTTGGTCTGAAATTTGCCCACTTCCTTGATTGAATGCTGTATCGTATTTGAAAAATACGCTTATAAGGCAATTGATCCGTGACAGAGTGACGAACTTTCAGCGACAATATTACATAAGTTTATTATTTACCGAGAAAACATACTTTCCTATAATTTTATTTAACTAAGTAATAGATTTTAATTTCAAGCGAAATTTAAGACAAATATTGCAACCGCGGAAATATTATTTATTTTTTATTTTTCTTATTAACATCTTTATTTATACGTCAGTTGAAATACAGTTGCATAATAGAAAGTGGTATGTAAATATATATATATATA